TACTGTGGTTACGTTCGTGACGATAGTGATTTTCGTTCTTCGTGTTGGCAGAGGTTTCCCGCGCGTGCAATTTCGACGCATTTATTACCACTTGGCGGAGCGCGCACTGTGGGAAAGATATCAACAAAGAGACAAGTCCGTTGTCGTTTGTCGCGGTTTGATAAGCTCGTGTCGAGGGACTGTCAGTCAAGATCGCAACACAAAATCTCTGTGACAAACGTGCAACATGTTCAGTCTGGGCGAGATCAGCGAGCAGCTGAGAGACGTGAGCCGAAGGTCGGTCGGAGTCTCGTTCGCCGGTCAGTCGCTCGTACTGGACACCGCGAATGACGGTAAGTCCGTTAGAATCTTTACGACGCTGGATCCTCTCGTGTGGCACCTTCGCGTGAAACGAATTGCGGCTATTAACGCGAGCCCGCCTCTCTTTCATTCGATTCTGAGACGCAGCTATTGTCTCTTATTCGCCGCCAAAGTTCTGCTTGCACGTTCGTGCGTATAAATTAAATTATTTATTTATAGATTGTATTTTTCTATTTCCCTATTACCACCGGAGGATTTTCTTCACCAACGAATCTGTCGTGTCCGTTTTGCAGCTCTGCGAGTGGTGGAAGCGATTAAAACATGCCCGTGCCTGGAGTACTTGGACCTGGAAGGAAACACGCTGGGCACGCCGGCCGCGGAGGTAATAGCGGAGGCGCTGAAGGAGAAGGGGAGCCCGTTGAAGAGAGCTCTGTGGAAGGACATGTTCACCGGTCGTCTGAAAACAGAAATCCCAAAAGCGTTGGAGTACCTGGGGACGGCGTTGTGCACCGCCGGCAGTCAACTCACCGAGCTTGACCTGAGCGACAATGCCTTCGGCCCGATCGGTATTCAGGGATTGGCGAATCTGTTGGCGTCGAGCCCGTGCTACACCCTTCAGCAGTTGAAGCTCAACAACAACGGTCTCGGCATATCGGGTGGAAAAGTGTTGGCTAAGGCATTGGAGAAGTGCCATGAGAATAGTTCTAAGGAGGGTGAGATATTACATCACATGTATATGCAATTATATGTACTTAAAAAAATACATATAGATGAAAGTCCTCTATTATGAGATAGCAGGTTTTTAACTCACAAATTCAATCTCTTTTCGCAACGATTACGCAATGTAACGAAGAATCCGCTAAACAGATTTCGCTCTAAGGGCAGTAAATTCATGATGGAATCAACTCATGACGCCTATTAATTTAATAGAAACCCCGCTATCCCATATTAGATTCCTATGTCATAATAGGGGGTGAAGATGCTAAAAGTGAGTCATAATGTATTCTAGACACTTAATGGAGTGGCGTTCCGTTACAGGTACGCCGCTTGCGCTGAAAGTTTTCATCGTCGGCAGAAATCGGCTGGAGAACGAGGGCGCGCAAGCGTTGGCGACCGTGTTTGAAAAGTTAAAAACATTAGAGGAAGTTGTGATGCAGCAGAACGGCATATATCACGTAGGCATCGCAGCGATCGCGCAGGGTTTATCGGCCAATCCTAACTTGCGGGTGTTAAACTTGAACGATAACACGATCGGGCTGAAGGGCGCAAGAGCACTCGCGAAAGCTTTACCGACTTTCCGGGGTCTGGAGGAGTTAAACCTTGGAGATTGTTTATTAAAGACGAAAGGTGCTTTAGTCTTGGCAGAGGCGTTGGAGATTCACGGCAATCACACGTCCCTTAGATGTCTGGACTTGAGCAATAACGAGCTTCGCGTGGATGCCGGAAATGCTATCGCCAAAGCCATGCATGATAAAACACTTCTGGCAAATCTACAGCTGGACGGTAATTGCTTTGGCACGGAAGGACGCGAGAACCTCCGACAAATCCTTACGAAGTTGGGAAGAATTGATGCGCTTAGTACTTTGGACGAGGATTATACAGAGGATGAGGAGGAGGAAGATAATGATGACAACACTGAGGATGGACAGAGCGAAGAGGACGAAAGTGATAACAATGAAGCTGAATCAAGTGACAAAGACAACAAGGAACAGGGTAATGTTGCGCAAAGCGCAGTGGTAACAGTAGCGGAATTTATTAAGTCACCAATAGGTGAGAAACTGATTCTGCTGCAGGATGATGTGCAAGCTTTCATTGACTACGCAACGGTGCGTATTAACACGTGCACTTGTACAAGTTACTTATATTCCCAGCGAGATTTTTTACTCTCTTGTTGTTCCAGAATTTAGCCAATCAAAGTAACGCAACTACGGAGCAGAAGTATATGGAGGAGCTTTTACGGATAACTATGAAAGTGTCGGCATTGTGTGGCAGTGGTTACATAAATGTGAGAATAAAAGCGGAATTCTTGTCAGACGCTTTATACGCAAAGCTGTTTTCTTATGCGGTAGAGAACAATATAATCTCCAATTTGAATAATGCATTATTAGTGAATCTTGGTTTGCTAAAGGTAAGAAAAATTAACAATTATCATTGTGTATGCGCGTGGAAGGTGAAAGCAATTAACAATTGTTTGTTTCTTAGAGCGAGGACAAAACCAGTGGAAAAATTGATTGGAATTTAGAAGGATGTTTTAAGGCCCTGGAAAAAGTTACTCAGAGAGATTATTTCTCAGCGCAAACGAGGAGTATGTTAAAAGTATTTCTAGAGAAACCAATGAAAACTAGTCGCGCGAACGTAGTAGATCCATTCCAAGATTCTAAAGCTGCTCTTAAAACTGTTCTAGACAATATTCAAGTTACGTAAAATTACCGGAAATTATCATAACATATAGTTATTTATTTTTATACATTATATGAAAAATAGAAATTTCATGTAAAGCTGAAATTAAGATACCATCGTTATACATGAATTTTGCAAAATATACATAAATAATGATCTTAATCAAATAATCTTGAAGATAAATCTTCATATTTTAATTCAAATTTTGTACTTTTAATATTAATATTTTTCAATATAAACTTTTTGCAAATGTGATCTTTATCTTATAATAAAACGTACTTCTTTTTATTATGAAACATAATCACGAAATAATTGAATTATAACATCGAAATGAAAAATACATTTATTATCTTACAACGTGTGTGTGAACGTGTATATACAATATACACTCATTTCGAGTTTCAATGCAAGTTACTTTTACCTTCTTTTAAATTACTAATAAAATATAATAGACGCTATTGTAAAAGCTATTTCTTAAAATAATATCAATATATTATAAAATCAATTTTTTATTTTAATTTAATATGTATATTGTAACACAAATGAATTTTATACAAAGCAGTACTTGGTGATATACGTATAATGGATTTAAAAATGCAAAACTATTGCCGTACAACTAAAATGTTCATCATGAGTTTAAAATGATGTCTATGTAATATTTTTCACGAAAATTTGTAAGATCGATTATAGATTGATGTGAAATAAATAATGTCTGTGTGTACGTGTGCTGGTAAAACTCAATACGAAGTTGCACTGTTATTATCGCTTTCATTTGTTCATAATGTACATACTATATGAGTAAGAAAAGCTTGAGGGAAGCTTGTTCCGATGTTCAAAGTGTAGTTTTGTGAAAGCTAGTTCACGGCAACGGCCGATGCTGGATCCCATCCTGGATGAAAGAGATCGACAGACAGTTGCATGCAGTGCGACGATGGTTGATCTTTCATGTACATTGTAGCCTAAAAAAATAGAATTTGAAAGAATTAGCATAAGAGTACACTTGCTTTTTCTCAACTTCAAACTTTTGTTTATGTGATACGTACAAGAAACAGAACCAATTGTGATTTTGTCATAGTATTACAATTCTGTCCCAGAGTAGACGGATAACTTATCACCCCGTCGTTACTTCGTATATTAGCTGCTATCAATTCTAGACAATGTTTCTCATTCACTCTGAACGTCGACAATATCGATGCTGTTGCAAATAAAAGAATCAATTTGACAATGACACACTTTTTTTCTCGTGTAGAATTTTCTCGAGTAACGCTGTTAATTACTATTCAATTTCTTACTTCTCTCGGACGCCTCAGCGGACAAGAACCTCGACAAAACCGTCCCAGACTCGGAGCTTTCGGAAAATATATGTGGATAACGTCTGAGAAGTAATTTCATCAGCAACATATTGCCGCGATTTCCAGCTAGGCTGTTATTAGGTATACAGAGGATCTCGTCCTCTGTTCTTCTCACTAACAATACGGTCCCGTTATATCTATCAAATAACAAAAGATGTCAGTGCAAAGATGCATATGCGACACTTTGTATTATATCGCGCCGTAGAATATACCTATTCAATTGTTCTGCTATGTTTAAATTGAAGTAATCTCTGATTATGTTGCGGACTAAGCCTTCTAAGGACGGTGACATTGTTTTAATAGCTAATGGAAGTATATCGTCGAAAGTAGCGTCTAAAACCTGCAGTGATCAAGTCGTCAATTTATGGAATATCAAGTTTACATGCGTAATCGATGAAATCGAACGTTACCAAGCTCTGAATAGAAGGATAATTCATAGCGGCCCACGTGGCGGTGTAGCCACCGATGCTCCAACCGTACAGGATGATCCGCTCCTCGGGGAAGTTGAGACGCTCGATCGCAAAGCGCATTATACAATCAATGGCGTTCTCCTCTTGATCTGGATATGGCGCGCCCTTTGTGGTCATGACTTACTGTTACTGTTATACGAGATAGGAGTTGGTCCGCGAAGAAGGCTTGCCATTACTCGCAACTTTACATTTACTGTCTGAATGACAATAACAGCAACACCGGCAACATTCTATTATCGCAATAAAGGGTTTTACGACGGAGTAACAGCAATTCTTCCCGCCGGATCGTTGCTCGCGGAACAGCGCGAGGCTCGCTCCTCCGCAAGCGGCGATACTTACGGTACTGCCAGCGAATCCCGGATGATTCCAGCCCAGCACCGAGTAGCCCTTGTTCAGCGGAGTGGCTATGATGCCCATCTCGTAGAACCCACAGTTGCCTTCGCAAGTTACAACCAATACCTGGCCATTGGCGCTCCTGCAACATGGTGCAACGTCAGAAGGCAGTTCGCAGCACGACAGGGGACGTCGATAAAGTTATCGTTTACATTACTTGTTACGCCGATCGACAAACATCGCGTCAATCTGATTCTTATCAGCGGTCATCAATTTGAATCTCTCTCCGCCTTGTTTTATCAAGTCTATCCTTCCATTCATCAGCGCGGAGCCTTTAACATCGCGATAAACAAAATGATCTTGTTAGATATGATAAGTATGTGAAAATAAGATAAAACGTAGCTACAATAACAATAGTAACGCATTACCGTGTATCAGGCGGATGAAAGTCATACTGCCGGGATAAATCAGTTTACCCGCCAAGGTGTGCGCCACCATGTAAGAAAGTAATTTACACGGTACGGCAAATAAAAATTCTTTGCCGTTCTGTCGCCTCAGTCGCCCACTGGCCTTCGCGATCTTTTCTAGCGTCAATCTGTCCGCAGTGTCGCTACAAGAAGTATACAATTAGGCAACGGTAACGTTAATTGCGATACACACAAATCGCTTTTGAATCCTCAATCTTATTGTTAGTCTCAACTTGAACAGATCAACATTTAACGCGCTATTTACCAAGTTTTCGAATGGAATCAAACAAAATGCAGGGTTGGAAAGTCACTTAATAAAAGTATGTAGTTACAGTTATGCAAAAAGTAGCAAACCGTTACTTTGCAGATACTTTCTTGCAATAAAAATATCAAATTTGCATGTGAAGCGCCGATAAAGGCGTTTATGCGTTCATAAAAAGCCTAATGCGATCTGTGGAGGTTTAAAATATATATAAAGCAGCTATTAATGTAACTGAATTAAGGAGAGAAAGTAACAAAGTTAGAGTTACCAAAAAAGAGCAACTGTAACTGTAACTTCGTTACAAGTAACAAGTTACTTTTCAACCCGGACAAAATGTCGAAATGCCAATCACTTTTCCAAGACATCAATTCGAGATCTAACAAGAAAACGTTCCATCTCCGCTACTAGAGTTGTAAAGGGTTACAATTTGAGAAATACCACAAATTTGTTAAAATTGATCAGACTTGTCGCCCGAACGAAAGTTGAAGATCCTCCAACGAGTTGTGCACTTATTGTCGACAGGAGTTCGAACCTTCTCAGCTCCGACACATCGAAATCCACGGGCCATGCCCAGAAATCGAAGTCGTACTTGTGCAGCTCCTGCTTCGTGCTGGCGTTGTAATGCAACTGCGCCTCGTTCAGGGTCTCCACGAACTTGACGTACACCGGATTGTTAACCCTGCAGTAGCCGCGTGTGGCCAGCGACGCGACGAGGAGCGCGCCGGCGCCGGCCGCCAGTTTGCTCAGGTAGGTGACGTCTGTCAAGTAGCCGCGCTGGTATATGGCGAACATGGCGATGACCGGCACGGCGTAGAGGCTTATGGACCACATCGCCGCGAACTGCAACAACGCGAGAGCGATTTGTGATCGAGTTGGCGCGGATTCCTCGCGAAGCGACACGGGAGATACGGTCGGACCGATAAGACGCGACGGAGGATCTGGAGGCCTCGTCGCTCGGCGAGACCGCCTCCGTCCTGTCGCGTAGGTAGATCACTTACGGAGATGACGATGTTGTCGCCCCATCGCTCCAGGCTCCTCGCCTCGTACGACTTCTGCAACGCAGACACGCACCTATAACCTCAAACCTTATGCAAATCCCTCGGCGGGGAAAGCGCTGAATAACGTGCGTACTTACGTCAACCAGACCGATCCACGTTACCTCGTAAATCTTGAAAAGCCGCGGACTGAACGTGCACCTCCACAGCGTCCTGATCAACGACATCTCGTCCACGCGCGCTCAGCCGAGAACAGCCTGATGTATAAATATGCTACACTGCGGAGTTGCGGACGTCGCGATGCGGATCGAGGGCTCTCTTGGCAGTAATGTCAGCACCAACACAACAGCGGGAAGGCCGGGAAGGAGGGGGGGGGGGAGACGAAATGAACTCTCTCGTCGATCGAACGCGCGCAGTAGATCGGCGAGCGGGCGAGAGAAAGAGAGACAGAGACGTGAAGCTGTCGGATGAGAAATTTGTGTGAATTTTCCTCGATAAATCGACTCTCTTTCCTTCCGATGAGACGCTGATTTAAAGAAGAAAGAGAAATATTAGTCTTTTTAATAAGAACCCGAGAGCAACGAGCAGCACCTCTCGGCGCCGATTGGCGCGCCACCTCGAGCGCTGCGATACCTCGCGATTCTCGAAATTTTAAACCGCGAGTCTCGAACGTGCCGCTTTTAGCTGCGAACACTTCGGTCCATATTTTCCGAATCCTCTTCCGTCAATAAATTTGTTCAATAAACTGTAGCCAATCAGAAGACTTGTTAAGGTCGTTCTACATTAAGTTGCAAGCAATCGCTGGCGCGTCCATATTGTCGCAAGTCGCAAGGCGATTTTTATTAATATAAAATTTTCTAACCGATCAGTCCCGGTCTACAATAGAGATTTACCTGAGCCTAAAGCCCGTATCAGACTACGGATTGGGATTGGGCTTAGATTGAAATTTAACCAATCGTAGTAAAGTTTACTAATCTCAAGTTCAGTAACTTTTACTCTGATTGGTCAAATTTCAATCTAATCCCAATCCCAATCCGTAGTCTGATACAGGTTTAAAGCCTCGTCTACATAGAAGTCGTAAAGTCGTAGTCGTAAGAATAGTCGACAATGGTTGGTCAATTCTTATGTGTCTGACGAAATTGACCAATCGCAATCGATTATTCTTACGGCTACGACTTTACGACTTCTACGTAGACGAGGCTTTACTTGCGTCTAATGTAGAACGACCTTTATCTGCAGTATCAGAAGATGCATAGCAAAACAGTTTCAAGAGGAAGGGCCATCGCACACAAAATTGCATAGTTGCATATGCATAGCACAAGACCGTCTGGACCAATGAGCGCGTTATGTAAAGCAATATGGCGACTCAATGTTCGATGTTCATTGGTTCAAACGGTTTTCATATGCATAACGAATTTGATTGGTTCATTTCCTTGTGCATTTGCTTGTAGACCAATCAAATTCGTTATGCATATGCTTATGCACTTATGCAAAAGTGTGTGCTCCCCGCTTAAAAATAGGCGCGCTGTCGAATCTCCAGCGCTTTACGCCCACTTTTATTTTTGGAACTACTCCGCTACGCCCATTTTCAAGCACTGTCGATAAAGTCTCCACTTGATGCGTGTCCGCGCTATGCATTCTGACATCTAATTTATGAAGTTTACATTGTCTACGTGAAAAAAAGTTAATGTAAACATCATGTGAACGATTCGTGTAGACGTAATTTGGAGATATTTACGGCGTAATGCTGGAAAACGGGCGTTAGCGCGGATACATGCAGAGTGGAGACTTTATCGACGGTGCTTGAAAATGGGCGCTGCGGAGTAGTTCCAAAACTCAAAGTGGGCGTAAAGCGCTGGGAGCCGACTAGCGAGACGGAAACAAGTAAAACGCCGGCGTGGCCGCTCTCAGGTTTCTCTCTGGTCGAACGCCAGCGTGGCCGCTCGCAGGTTTCTCGCTGCTGCTGCAAACTGAGCGGTAGTGCTACTGAATGCATCCAATCCGAATTTAACAATGGTATACAACAAACTAAGCGACTCAAGCGTTTACAACGCGCCGGAGTTGTTTGATACGCGTGTCAACCTGGTCTGATACTCGTGACACGGGGGTACCAGACCAACGCGCACCTAAGTAATCCACGTACTTTTACGCCGTGCGTATGGAACGACTTGGTACGAATATGGTACTTGGTACGCGTATCAAATGCTCTGTGCAGACTAGGTCATAGTATGACTGGCAGATCCAACTCCGTCATCTGTTTCGTTTTGCGTCGATTCATTCTGCACATCCGACATTGCTCTGGGCAGACCGGGCAGACCAATGAGAGAAGAGTAGTATGTGCGGTAGTGTGGCTTTGACGAGTACGTATACACACACACACGCACCCATCGCTGGATCCTGCCCGAGTGCATGGAACACCACGTGATCGCGACCGCGAAGATCAAAGGGGCCGATCTGCTAGTGATACTATGGTCTTGCATACAGGCCTGGAAGCAACATCGATTTTTGAGTGGCAGGGGGTGACTCCGTTACGAAGATAGTTTTCGTTCGCGCCAACGTCACTGTGCGTCGCTCGTGAGATATGACCTCAAGTGCGCGGTCTGAGTCACGTGTAGCTGTGAGAATTGAAATTGTGACTGTTTCAGTAACCGCAAATTGAACAATGTTTGTCGAGATGCCTGGAATCGTGTTCGGTACCAAAGTGCAACACAGGATATAGAACTGTGAAACAAAAGTACTCTGCTTTTAAAGTGTCAAAAAAAAAAATTGAAATTCATTCTACACGTCTCTAGGCAGAACAGCATTGTAAAACATTTTGACGCGTACTGTACATGTGCTGTTGTGTCGTAATGTCGCACATGACACTTCTAGATCATACGCGACACCTTGCGGCTGAAAATCGGAGTAAAAGCATGGACATCGAGAGAGAGTCCACCCCCACCATCGTTGCTTCCAGACCTGTGTGTAAAGCCAGTGATGCAAGCCTTGGGCCGCCAGCGCCACCGAGTGCTGCACCAGCTGCACTACGACGCTCGCGCGCTCGTTTGCGCGAGCGTCGTAGTGCAGCTGGTGCAGCACCCGACGGTGCTGGCGGCCCGAAGTTTACATCACCGCACGTAAGACCGTGGCCGTCACGTCGCGCCGGTGCCGCGTCGGTTCGCGTCTCGCGGATTTTGAAATTCGCGGCCGCGCGACCGGTCGCTCACGCGATTTTTCCAGCCGGCGTCGCGCCGCGCGGGGGAGGGGGGAGAGAAGAATATCGCGAGGGTACACGCCGCGCGCGATCTCCGGTGGGCGCCGACCTCCGATGTTCGCGGAATCGCGGCCACGCGCCGGTCGATCGAGCGGCCGCGCCGCATGATTTTCGGAACGTCCGCGAGGCGGAGAGAAGACCTCGCTCGGCGCTGGAGAACGCGAGCAGCGCGGCGGTCACGGCGCGGGAGTAGAGCGGTCGCTGTCGTCGCGGTAGCCGCGCGTCCGGTGGAGACGTTCCTCGTCGCGCACGTCGGGTGCTCGTTCCCCCTCTGCCCCTTGACGCCGCGGCGAGTCTCCGAGTCCCCGTGAAATCCCCCCCCGGGTCGTTGCGCCGCGAGAGACTCCTCTCTTTTTTTCTCTCCCCTCCCCCTCCCCCCCGCAACATGTCAGACTGGGACACCGCGCCTATCACCCTCCGCAAACGTGTACCGAAGTCGTCCACGCTGAAGACCGAGAAGGTATACAGTGTCCGCCTCCTCGTGGCGCGCGTACGTCGCGGAGCCCGCCGCCGCGTATCCGTGTGTTCGCGCGCGCGTGGATCCTGTAACCCGATTGTGTTTGTTTACAGGCGGTCAACGACGCTCGGCGGCAGGGTTACACCGTGGAGACGCAGGCGAAATGTGAGTAACGCCAAGTCCCGACTTGCTCCCCCCTGAGGGACACTTCGCACCTTCCTCGTGCGCGAGACGTAAACAAAGTCCGTCCCTTACGCGGGCACCGATTCTGCGTACATACTCTCTTATCTGATAACGGCGTTCGAGTTACATCACGGCCAGGCCGGGCCGCGACTCGCAGTATTGCTAGTTGTCGCGCTTTCCCCTTTCCCGCGTGAGTGACAATGTGTGCGGACGCCAGCGCGGTTGCGGTAAAAATCAAAGTGCACGCAGGCCACGTTACCGTGTCACATTAACGCCCGGTCGCGCGGTCGCTTAACCTCGGCGCGATTCGCTCTTTCTATGGAAAACAGACCAGGAGTGAATTAAACTCATGCTACGTCAGTTGGAGCAACCGAGCCTGTCGCAGATAGAAACCTCGGGGTGGTTGCGAGGCACTTTGGTGCGTTAACGTGCGGAATAAATGTGTAAGCATACAGGTTATACAGGTTACCTTTTTCAACGAGTATCTAGTACGGTACATTGGCTGAACGTTGGTTAAACATTGGCCCAACGTTGGAGATGCATTGACTGCTTTCAGCAGAAAAAGCTACTTTGCACTAGTCATAAAATTCAAGTAAATTTCAAGTGCGCTCGTAGATTCTGCCAAAAATTAAAGGCATACGCCAATTAGATTCTGGATTTTTACAACAGTTGCAAAGCAGCTTTTTCTTCTGAACCTGGCCAATATTGGCCGTGATATAAGTGCAAATATTGCACGATAATAATTGTATAATATTAGATTTATGTGAAATACATTGGCCAATATTTAGCAATATGAAATGTTGGTTTGACACTAAATGCAATATTAGAAAAAACTACAATAATGGGCATTGGTGTACAAGATTTTGGTCAGCGGTTTCCCCCTCGATTCGTATGGACCATTTTTGGCTAAACACTCCTTGAACATGTATTTAAGACAAGGTTAAATATAAAAATTGACCATTCACATTTATTTTCTAATACCGCGCCAAGACTAGACTACTAGGGATGTATAATACTCTATCGGTGTATGTAATTAGTAAAAGGGAATAATAGAAAACGACATTATATAGATTTTTCATTGAGCGAGGTCTTAAATAACTTTCCTGATTTCTGCAGACACAGAAAAATGATATCCCAAAAGTGTCTCGCCACAGCTGTATGTGCGTTGTCCTTTAATGTTTTTCTGGTAACGTTTTATTGAAAGTACAGTAATCTCGAAACAGGGAAAAACAATACAGTTAAACGGGGACAAGTGTCGCCTTCGATCCGACTGGATCTTTGTTGCCTAATAATATTTTGTGTGAATTCATACACTGTTTTCAACTCATTGTCAGCAGACCGCGCACCGGTTATTTGTCTCGGTCTCGAAACACAGTTTCGTTGGGATGACACTAAGGCACGGTTTCACCAACATTGTTTAACTTTAAGCTTAGCTTAATTCGTTCCTTGTCTCTTTTCAACTGTTACTTTAGAAAGAGACAAACGTGAATTAAACTAAGATTAACGTTAAACGACGTTTGATGAAACCGGGCCTAAAATCACACAATTAAATTGATAATCGACCTGACTGCCTGATACCAATAGGCGTCCTTTAAAATCACCGCGAAGAATCTCCGAAAAATCACCCCAACCAAGGGTTCAAACTTGGACCTTGGACCTCCCTTCGATCTGTCTTTGCCAATTTGACCACTGTTTAACTTTAATCTCAATTTAATTTACTTTTTATCTTTTTTCAACTCTTAATGTTTATTTCTACCAATGTGGATTAATTTTAATCTCAGTTTAATTTACTTTTTATATTTTTCTAGTTCTAGTTTTCACCAAACGTCGTTTAACTTTAATTTGTTTAATTCACGTTTGTCTCTTTTTAAAATAAACAGTTGGAGAGAAACAAAGAACGAATTAAGCTAAGCTTAAAGTTAAACAACGCTAGTGAAACCGGGCCTAAGAATTAGAAAACGATAAACATGAGAGCGAACCGAGATTAAAGTCAATCTACACTGGTAGAAGTGGAAAATTACTACACTGGAAAACTAGAAAAAGATCAAGAGAAGGTTAAACCGAGATTGAAGTTAATCCGCATTGATAAAAATGGACACGAGGCAAACAATATTTCTTACCAGGGGGTGGCGGCGCGAACAGGCAGCACGTGACGACGAAGAATACAGCCAAACTGGATCGTGAGACAGAGGAACTGAAGCACGATCAGATCCCACTCGAACTCGGCAAACTTATCCAGCAAGGACGACAGGGCAAAGGAATGTCGCAAAAGGACCTGGCCACGGTAAAGTATTTCTCCTGCGTAATTTCATCGAGCGACTTGTCGGAGGCCGAGGCGCGAATGTTTAGCTTCACGTGCTTTTTCGCAGAAAGTGAACGAGAAGGCGCAAGTCATTAACGACTACGAAGCGGGACGTGGAATACCGAACCAGATGGTGATCGGCAAGATCGAACGAGTGCTCGGAATTAAATTGCGCGGTAAAGATCGTGGCAAACCGTTAGCGGCCCCCGGGACGAAGAAGTGAATCTCGGGGGGAAGCAATGTCTATCTTTCGATCCTTATACACGGTTCCCAAGGAAGTACTATGAGAAAGACGGTAGAACGGAACGCAACAAATTTATAAAAAAAAAACACAAACCCCTACCCTCTTTTCCTTTTGATTATACGGATATTGTGAAAATGGTAAAAAAAATGGGTTATACTTGTCTTCACGTATGAAATAAAAGAAACATATTTTAGGATATCACGTATGGAGTAATATACGATTACACACGGTTCATACAGTAACATAGCGTAACGTTGAACAAGGCTTATTGAGTTACCTTCGCGCGTAATCGTTTGTTATAGATTTTTAAGTGTACATTACTAATGCTAATCATGGAGTAAAAGCGAAGTATATGTTTGAGTGACAGAATAAAATTCTTAATTTATGATAAAGTATTAGGTACCTGTTTTCATTCAACCATCACGAAGATGCGTAAGAATTAAAAAAAAAGGAAGTAAATAGATTTGCATATATTAAATAAACACAAAATAGCGTACAAATACAAAGAAAGACGCCTATCCGAGTATCACTTACGTGTACTTGTATATTTTTAACTTTCGTATCTTTTGCGCATTATTTAATCTGCGTACAATTTCAATCTGTGCGCTCAAAATCTTGAAAAAAAAAATTGACTGGATTCTCCCATGTTCCATGGTGTATTGTCTCCTTCGAATAACGCTTGAAAGAGAAAGAATTTTAATAACAGAGCATCGAAATACTCAAGTAACTTTATTTGCGCAGATATAAATGTCCTCTTTCCCCACTAATCCTTTCTCAGAGCGAAACTGGAGTCCTTTATTCCGTCCTTGGTAATGATTTTGATAGTTATTCCATCACCCGTGTATATATCTCTCTCTGCCGCAGAGGTGAAAACGTCTTTCAAGACCGCGATAGCCTTTTCTAGAGTCAGCGGCGCAGGAGTGATGCCTTCCTGGTTCTTGTAGCCGATCTGGAATACAGGAAGTTACAAGTTGCACCATCGATTACGTGACTTCTTTTTTCCCCCCAAATGTTTCTCAAGGCCTGTGTTCACGATGAACTTAGACCAGAGGCCTCTGTTGCATAAAGATCGTTTACACATTTACATCAGGGATTAAAATATATACCTGATTATCGAGGAGCGGTTGCAAAAGCGCGCCGGCTGAACCGCCGGCTCTGTACGTAGTTTTCTCGCAATGTCCAATTGGGTCGTAACTATATATACAGCCCTTCCCGTCCTCGTCTAATCCAGCAAGTATGTTACTGACGTAATAAGGAAAGAACCTTTTGTGATACAGCATTATCGACAGCATCTGCGCCGCCGCCGGAGTCGACATTTCCTTTTGATGCTCATGTTTGTACATCTGAAGCGAGATGACAATTTAACGCGTATCGCACAAGATCGCACAATCGTGCTTTAATATTCAAGCCCAATTGATTACAGACAAGTAATATTATTCGACCAGAGGGTCAATTTTGTATCTAACACTACAGTGAAAATGCTAAAAGCAAGAAAGAGACAAAGCCGCTTATTTTCAACATTTTCATTACGGATACATTTTGTTACGGATACAGAATTGACCCTCGGAACTGGCAACAATTTCTCCAGGGTGAGGTAATATTTTTCGCAATGAATTTCTACCAGTTCTGGTTGAATATTACTTGTCTGCTGTCACTGGCGAGAGGAGAACGTCACTCCTGCTAATTCATTACAATGAAATCAAGTTTATACCTGCATGCGAGCGGACAGGACCCGAGTCAGAGTCAAGGTGTCGCACCAGCAGCCGGAGCAGCCCAGGATAGTCGTGTCCGACAGGGAGAACAATTTATCCTGTTCGCGGGTGTAGATCGAGAAGCCGGTGCTGAGACGCGTGTCCGCGGCTATGACGCAGAAGTCATCCCCGGCGAGAGCCACCACGCTCCTGAGGACAAGACAGTGTAAGGCTGCTTTCCAGCAAGAGACACCGATTGACACAGCGTAATACAGTCATTTTATCCTTGTTTAATAACAGCGAACCACGAGGATAAAATGATTCAGGCCGGGTTTCTCATTTTCTGGTTAACTCTTAACCAGAGGAGGCTAGTTGACTCTCCATCCTTTTCTATATTATTATTTAAGAAAAGACAGAGACTCGACTAACTTCTGGTGGACAGTTAGACCCGGTCTACAACGAGTCGTTAGTCAGAACTGTATGTCGGTCCTTTTTCTCTCGCCCGGAAACCAGGACCAGGCCGTGACCAGAAAATGAAAACTGTGTTAAGCCCGCTGCAGACGATGCTATTTTTCCTGCTGGATTGCTTGCGATTTAGTAAATTACTATCATTGCACCACTCAGCATTCAGGATTCCTAGTAATTTACTAAATTGCAAGCAATCCAGCAGGAAAAATAGCATCGTCTGCAGCGGGCTTTACACGGTATCGCCTGTGTATGTTGCCAGAGAGCACCCTAAATTATGTGAGCGTACGGTGTGCCGGACAAGTCGTAAAGAGTACGAAGCTACGGGGGGGTAAAAAAATGTCAGAGGATGAAAATCAGAAATAGCGACAAGAAATGTCTTTGAGTCGATGACGCTTGAGATCACAGCGGAGGTATAGGTTACTTCCACTCGACCTACCCTCCGTTGTCGGAGTACGGGCTGAAGGTCACTTTTCTCGCTCCCTGCACCTCGTAATCGGGCAAACGTCCCTTCCCGGTTTCTGGGACGATGGTCAACAGATCCATCGTCGATTCGTTTGATTAAACTGTACCGAATACGATCGCAGCCGAGACACCGAATGACACTACAGTTTCTCGCGACAGCGCAGCATATCGGACGGCGGAGCAGTCGCGGATTCACGCGCGTTCGTAAAGCCTCGTCTACATAGAAGTCGTAAAGTCGTAGTCGTAAGAATAGTCGACTGCGATTGGTCAATTCTTATGTGTCTGACGAAATTGACCAATCGCAGTCGATTATTCTTACGACTACGACAGGCGAGAGTGAGGGGAATAAATGCCTGTGATTGGTTGATTTTTTACGGCTTAGTCCCAGTCTACAATAGATGATTTAAGCCCTAAGCTTAAGTCCCAGTCTACAATAGATGATTTAAGCCCTAAGCTTTAAGAAATTGGCCAATCACGGTCAAGTATGAGAAGAATGCGCGACTGTGATTAGTCAATTTCTTAAGGCTTAGGGCTTAAATCTCTATTGTAGACTGGGACTTAGTCCCAGTCTACAATAGAGATTTAAGCCCTAAGCCTTAGTCCCAGTCTACAATAGATGATTTAAGCCCTAAGCTTTAAGAAATTGGCCAATCACGGTCAAGTATGAGAAGAATGCGCGACTGTGATTAGTCAATTTCTTAAGG